TATATCGATTACGGATCGCCCAATAAACGTTCATTTGCTGCTAAAAGAGGGAAAGACAGAGCCCCAAGTCTGAACGTGAGCGCCAATGGCGACCCTCACAAGCCAGTTATCTTCACAATTACCAATTGGAGTAGTAGCATTTCTCCTCGCTTTCAACATTGTCCTCTCCTTCACTGCATCTCTTGGTAATGCTCTGCTTCTATTAACATTTTAGAAAGTGTCCTCTTTGCATCCCACTGCAAAGGTCTTGTTTGAATGTCTAGCCGCTACCGATCTTTGTGTGGGTCTTTTTTCACAACCTCTGTTCGTGACTGTGTTATTTCTTTACATTAATCTTGGTAACACCGACATAGATATTTTGTATTACCTCGAATAGGTTGTTTGTATATCCAACTATGTTGTGTTTGGAGTGCCTGTACTGATATCAACAGCCATCAGTGTTGACAGACTTCTTGTTCTGTTATTGAGGCTGAGATACATACACTAGTGACACTAAAGCGAACTCAAGCTGTTATACTTTTATGCTGGATAATTGCTGTTTTATGTGGATTAGTTCGTGTCTGGAGTCAAACGGATTCGGAGATTGTTGCTTTTGTGGCCGTTGTGGTATCTCTGGTTACTTCCGTGTTTTGCTACGTTAAAATCCACCTGAGATTACAGCGGTAACAGGCTGAAGTAGAAGACAACCCTGGCTAGCGACGGTCAAACGCAGGAGAAGATATAGGAGTAGGAAAAGATGAAGCAGGCGCAATAACGGGGACAATAACAGCCACAGAAGAAGGAGCAGGAGTAAAAGGTACAGGAAGGGGAAGAGTACGTGCATGGACAGCAAAAGGTTCATCAAAACAAAGATTAAACGGGAGAGTTCAACTAAACATCAAACAATATCAGAAAACAGTTTCCAGCATATTTTGGGTGCAGTTGGCTTTAGTGGCATGCTACACCCCTTCTATAATTGTGTCGATATACAGTAATTAGTGGATCTGCAGTTCATGCTATGTGGCTCTTCACCAAAACTTTAGTTTATCTGAACTCATCTCTGAATCCCTTTATTTACTGTTGGAAAATCACAGAAGTAAGAAAGGAAGTAAAGGACACAGCCAGGGCGTTTTGTTGTTGTTCGTGATTCAAGGTCGCCTTTATTTATGTGGAAAAACTTCCGCGTCCATATTAATCAATAAGGAATCATTGAATACTGAGTCGAAACTCTCTTGCAATATGAGGAGGAATACAAATTTCTTTTTCTTTTCCATGTTCTCTTTACAGGAAGGAGAATAAGAAGAAGAGGAAGACATAACATCAATTAGTCTCTTTTTTTTGCCATGAAATACAATGAGATATTGATTGAGAATTGATTCTTTCCATCTATTTTGGACGGGTTTCTAATATTTATTTAAAGATCGCCCATGCATAAACAAAATTAATAAATAAACGTTAACTGTGGACTTGTCTTTGCTCGATATGCCCTGTTCTCTCATACGTAAATCTAATATCTCGCATTTTGACTGGACAAACCGTTCTCAGCGAAGTGCGAAGCAACTTTGTCGAATAAAACCTTAAAAGAGTCTACCCCGTACATTTGTGCGGCCCCTTTAGTCCTCTTACTGGCGGCGCTTTTAAACAAGGAAGGTTATTTTCTTTTCCTTTCTGGCCGCCTCAGTTATTGCTGACTTCTCTATTTATACAGTCACAGTGAACCACTGCTTTCTTTTGCATTTTTGGCCTCTTTCAGCTGACTTTCCCCCCCCCACAATCAGGAGGAAAAACCTCAAGATGAATATGTCTAACCTTTATTTTAAAATGCGTCATTTTTGAATATCAAATAAGACCACATTAAACATCTCACAAATTGAGGACGCCACAAAAATGGCTGATTGCTAATTAAGTGGCTTATATTTTGGTATTATTAAATTCGAGAATAATAAAAAACGAGATTTAGCTAAACTTTAAGTTCCCTTGAACATTAACTTTATGATGAAAACACCAGCGGTCGTCTCAGCCTTATCAATGTTCAACAAAATTTTTTTTCCACAAACAGTTCACATCTGCTTCCAAAAACAAAGCGTAAAATGTGTAATGATTTAATACGAATAAATCATCCACACGAGCTCTAGAATATACTGTGGACCATTTTGGCAATAGTCTTGGTTTTAAGGGTGTGATGAGTGACTCAATAGCTTAGTCATTAAAACCGGCTACACTCTCACAGAAAGGCACAATCTGTCTCCTCCTGACGGTTTTAGAAAGTATTACATGCTTACTTATCGGTACCTGTTATAATATTTAGCTAGCGACTGACAAATTGGGTCATTAGGCTTTCAAATACTTTATTCTTAGTCGCCCAAATAAACCGTTTTTGGTTGACAGATATCTCAGCCGCTTGTTTTGATAACACCAAGGGTAACAATACATGATTATTGACACACTTCAGTTGTTGTTGTACAGGTGCTGGTGTTGGTGGCCAGCTAAGGCCTTTCAAGTTTATTTATATTTCCTTCATTGACATTAATTTTACAAGATATGGATAGAAAAATGATCCACTTTCCAACATTGTCTTCTCGGAAATGTTTGCATTATTACGATAAGTTGTGATGCCAATCGCCCTATCGAAAGTTTATCAAATGATTATTTCTTAACTCTTCACCAAGGTAGAGTTAACTAGTGGTGGATATTTACCAAGCTGCCAAGCGCAGATGTAAATATCTACCCCTAGCCACTGGCACTTAGATGAATATTTGTTTTTGTATATAATTTAATACTGTGAGATAAAATAATACAAAAATATGATTTTGAATAATTTATTCCTGTAATAATCACAACATTTTTGGGCGCAAATCCCCTGGAGGTGAATGGAGAAGGATGTGCGGAGTAACGTTTTAGTGACTACTTTTGGGTTCCTTATATCTATATATGGATCGAAATATGTCAGATTTTCGGGAGATTCAAATAAAAAAAAAAATTTAATTTAATTTCGTGTGCAGAAATTTCAAAACCCTATCTAAACGATAAATACTTCCTTATAAGCATATTGAACAGTCAAAGAGATAAATACTGAAAAAAAAGGCAAAAACCAAAATTTTTGAGATCGACATCAGAGTCACCACCGATCTTTTGATCGACGATCTTGGTTTTATTTCACTTTCATTTAAAGGACACTCCCTGTCTCAGAAAAAAATTCTTGTCTTAGCCCAGCCTTGAACTGAAAGAGAAATCTGAAGTTTAGTATCATCCAATAATATTCAGTAAAATAAGATTGAAGGGCATATGAAAAGTCATTTACATAAATTCTGAACAAAACAAGTCATGGAATAACCGCTTGTGGCACTCTGGATTCAAAGACCAGAGAGTCAGGGACTCAGAATATGTGAGCGCTACTTGTTTTCTAGCAGATGGATTAATGATGAACTAAGCCACACCGAAATGCCCTCGTTTAGTTTGTCAAAGGACTTGCTCATGTCAAGAAACACGACGACGGACAGTAAGAAAATGACTGCCGTTGCCTATTTCTCTAAAAATTATAGCACAGTACTTCTCAAGATGAAAGTTGAAGTAATGGGTTAGGCAATGTCAGCGTTATATGTAAGTGCTCGTGAAAAAAACAACTGAAAATGAATGAATGAGAATCCATTATTATATTAGCTCGTCTGTGTTTCTCGAAAACGCCATCTATTGCTTGATTAAACTCGACATATTTGCTGACATAGTGCACCAGGAAGGCACGATTAGTGTCAACAATATTCAAACACAATATCCCGAGACGCCAAATGCCTGAAACTGTGGAGATAAAAAGTAAAAAATCATGCTTCCTTGGCACTTGGAATATCTGCCTTAGGCCAATTTCTGCACTAAGAATCATCACAATGGGGTCATTTATGTTTCAAACTTCTAAAACACTTTTCTCAGAAATGATTAGAAGCAGTGATGTGAAATAACAACATTCAAGACTAATCAGCTTAATACCGCCTATCTAATCAACAAATTGGAATAGAGAACTCGATTGAAAAGGCCGGTGAGTCAGTAGCTGTCTACAAAAAGGATAAAATGTATTGGGTTAATAATGTTTTGAGGATATGCTACTCCTGGTTGCTAAGCGAGCGTAAGCTGGGAATAGAAAAATATATACACTTATCAGAACTAACGCAGCGCTACTGGAATTTCGTCAATCTTACTCTTTGAAGGAGGCCAGATGTCATTTTAGTTTATGATATCCTTCAAATCTACAGTTAGATCCAGACCAGCAATTTTGCTGCAATGAATGGAGTAAACGAAACGAGTTTAGCTTATATAAGTTTATTGAAGCATTTAGGGAGTGCTTTACAACAAGTAAATTATTCTTAATTAGATTAGGAAATATTACTTATACTAGGAACAACACTCACAAACTTACGCAGCATTTCTGATTTGATCAGTTATAAAAATTATCTTAACAGCAATTTCTTTTTTTTTGTTCTTTTTTTTTTGTCTCTATCAGCCTACAGTCAATAACATCAACAAAGCACTGACAAGTGCACCAAGTGAATAAACGGTAAACTAAGAAATGCAAAAGTGAAGTAAATAAACAAGTTTTTTCTTTGAAGGAAATTCCACTTAACCTCCATTTATAAACTATGAAAATGGTTATCATCACTACCAAAGCATTACTAAAGTAAAAGTACGAAAAAACCTACGTCTTAAAATCAAAAACTATGAAATATTGAGGCTGAAATTCTCGAAATATAAACTACAAATTACCACAGAGTGTTATAAGACTACAACCTTAGAGGTTCAGCAATTCTGCTATTAAGCCTCAGTCCTGCACAAGAGGAGTTGCTTCAGATGACTCCTCGTCTTCGTCACTTCCAGTTTCGTCTATATCCGCAGCAGTAAGTTGATTACCATCATACTCTTGTACGCCAGCGTCTCCGTCAAAAAGGTCTACAGCATCACTTTGGTCGTCCATATAGTTGCCAAGATCGTCTTGTTCATCCTTCGTGTACTCTAGCTGGCAAGTCTTAGGTTCTTCTTCCACTGCCTCCTTTTCAGATTGAACTGCTTCAGCACCTTCATAACCAACGGTATTTTCAGGTTCACTTGTTACACCTTCTTCGTCATTAGTTTGATTTTCTGGAGGGAAGACGAAATCACTGAGGCCTTCTTTTTCGATCAGAGGATTGTATTCTAAAGAATCAAGATTTTCCTCTTCGATCACACAAGGGAATGGTGAGGCATCGGGTTTGTTCGCCTCATTTGCGGAGCGTGCGAAAGAGGTAGCATCTTCTTTTTCAGTAACAGAAAGGCATTCTGTGGCTTCCAAATCTTCTTCCCCAAGTACAGGGGAGCATGCTGAGTTATTGGAATCTTCTTCCTCAACCACAAGGGGGCATGCTAGAGAATCAGAATTTTCTTCGTCAGTCACAAGGGGACATGCTGAAGCAGCTAGACCGTCTTCGTCCATCACCAGGGAGGATGGTAAAGGATCAATTTCTTCTTCCTCAATCGCAAGAGGGCACTCGGAGTCATCAACATCTTCTTCCTCGTTCTCGCTAAGGTATGGTAAAGTATCACTCTCCAAAGGGTACGCTTGGGCATCCATATCTTTCTTATCACTCTTAAAAGGGTATGCTGCGCAACCTTCTTCTACTTTGATTCCGAGAGGGAAAGCTGTAGCACCATCGTCAATTCCAACCATAGAGGGATGTGCGGTAGCACCGTGCTTACCCACTTCACGGGCGAGATTTCCTGCAGCTGCCCCTTTGTCTTGTAAGTTAATAGCGAGGGGGAAAGCTGTAGCACCATCGTCAATTGCAACCACAAAGGGATGTGCAGTAGCACCGTGCTTACCCACTTCATGGGCGAGATTTGCTGCAGCTGCTCCTTCCTCTGGTACGTTAATAGCGAAAGGGAAAGCTGTAGCACCATCGTCAATTGCAACCACAAAGGGATGTGCAGCAGCACCGTGCTTACCCACTTTATGGAAGAGATTTGCTGCAGCTGCCCCTTTCTCTGGTATGTTGATAGCGACAGGGAAAGCTTGAGCACCATCGTTTATTGCAATCACAAAGGGATGTGCCGTAGCACCGTCTTCACCCACTTCACTGTCGGGATCTGTTGCAGGTGCTCCTTCGTCTCCTGCGTTAATTCCAAGAGGGAAAGCTGTAGCATCATCGTCCACTGCAACCAGAGAGGGATGTGCCGTAGCACCGTGTTCACCCACTTCACCGATGGGATTTGCTGCAGCTGCTCCTAGCTCTTCCGGTCCTGCATCTTCTGGGTTTGCAACAGCTCCACGGTCATCGACAAAGTTGTACTTATCCTGATCATACTTGTCATCGTCAAAGATATCTACATATGTCTATGAAAAAGATTAGAGGGTAATCAAGAACTGCAGGAGTTAATAAAACTTGAACGAATGAATTTAAAAAATTCAACAAAGAAATTTCAAAAAATGAGTCACTAAAAAGAAAAAAAAGAGCAGATCAGATATCAATCACAAAGACAAGAACCATTAGTACTTGCATGAATTGAAAGTCAGGTATGGTCTTCCTTTCTGTCAAAGTTTTCCAAAAGTGTTATTTTAAGATCTGTTGCGTTCTTTCTTGTTTGTAGACAACAGAGGGAAAATAAGGATGATCCAGACTGACACAACGTAACCACATTTGCATATGTTTAAAAGTAACATTGGCTCATGATGAAACTGAATTCACAAATTGTTAGCGGCTGGGTAGTTAATGCATTTTGACATCACATTGACGTGAAAAGAAATTCGCAATTGACTCAATTTCTGAAGTATATACTGAATTAGACGCTGTATGGCAAACCTTTGTTTTAATATATGTATCCATTGTTTGGTAGAGCTTCACAAAGTGTGGCCGGCTGGCGCTTTCGTATTTCCAGCAGTTTAACATCACCGCGTATCTATAGAAAAACACAGGGACATATGATCACAGTAATTCTGCGGAGGCATTAATATTGCGAGTAGACAAGTTGAGAAACCACAACTAGTTACAAAAATAACTGAAATGCTAAGTTTATCTCATTACATTGCAGCTCAAACGAATTCTGTGATGAAAACCCACCGTATTCTTTATTTGACTCAACAACTTTTCATTTTAATTTTTGTAGTGATTAGATAAAATTAATTTCTTAGGAAGGCTACTTATTCAGAGCGAGTGTATCAAAAACACCTGACCACAGCAGCAATTGATGTTGCTTTTGACTTATATAACATTCCACACAGAGGAAGCAACACTTACAAACTGTCGTCGATATGTTCAGGCTTTGGCAGACGATAACCTTCTTCGATTTTTTTCATTGTCGTGGATTGAGACCATCCATCGTAAGGAATGCCTCCTGTGGAAAAATAATGTTTTTTTTCTGTTGGCCAAAAAAGTACACTTTTTTTGTTGTAATCACTTTCATTCCTCTCAACGCGATCAAAATGATTCTTCTGTCAAAACGACAATTAATTGCTGAAATACATTTCGGTTTTACATCAGATGAAAGAGTACTGTAAAAAAAAACAAATTTAAGTGTAGCGATGGATTTAAGGTTTTTCAATAATGTACTAAATACTTTCAGTTCTACTTAAACTTAAGCTTTATTTCAAGTTGCTATGCATCGTCATAATTTTATTTATCAGCGCCATTGAGTGTTGCTTCTACTTCTCTATTGTATAATGCTCTTTTGCCCGCTCGGTATCAATCATCAGTTAGTAATTATGCGTGCAATTTCGGCAAGTATATTTCCTGAATATAAAGTAACAAATAAGTTAAGTACCGACAGTGAAGATTTCATACAAGACGATGCCGTAGGACCACCTGTCAAAGAAACGGAAGGATGACGATATATCTCAACTGGGTTAGAAAGATAATAATTACTCAGATACTTGGGATGTTTAAAAACATGCCATCAAGATATAATCAACCTCCCTAGGAGAAAACGCCATATTTATTAGTTTGATTATCCACTCATCCTTTCATCCGTCTTTTCTTGTCCTAATCAGATTTTGGATAGTGGTCGTTAAACTTAATATTCATATAAAGTCTCATACTACAACTGTAACCTCAGCTGTTCCTCAGCTTGACGTTTCCTAATGACTCTGTAATCAATAGAGCACTGAATATTCTAGTTTCCCTCGCTACGTTAAAGTAGAATCGTAAAAAAATATTCACTCTAGGAATATATGTAGATAATAACCAATACGGTACGTACACATCGCTTTTGGTTGACAGCTGTTCCACATGTCCAAAGAGAATCTCGGGTGCAGTCCATTTGATTGGGATACATCCCTGGATGAGTAACCAAAATATTATAAACATCTGAAATCTAAAGAGGCTTGTAAACAGCTCCTAAAATTAATTGCATATAAGATTAAAACCGTGATGTGAGGATTCAAGATAAAGTCAATAGCAGTAGACATCTTTGTACAAATTCTATGAAAGCAATTCACACACTCCTTTTGCTTTAAATTTTTCTGTTACTTTGCCCTTCGAGTTTGTATCTTTGTTTTTCAGAGAACGATATCTCTTCCGGCTTTCTTATTTCCTGTGTTCACTCCCTAGGTACAATTCTTTTTTTTCTGTGAAAGCTTCGATACGCTTAGAATGGCTTCCCATTAAAGGGAAATATGTTTTGCAGTAAGACTGTATAACTGAAAAGAAAGGGTTGTAAGGACAGTAATATTTTAATTCTTCTCATTTTTATCTTCCACACCAGCAGCCCCAAAACCAAAATTGACTAAATGATGAAAAAACTCTGAAACTTACCTTCTTGGCATTTCCTGGGCCGTATTTGAAATCCTGATAAGAGAGCCCAAAGTCAGTCAACTTGCAGACACGATGCTCATCAAGAAGGATGTTACGAGCTGCAAGATCGCGATGAATTATCTGAAATCGAAATCAAACATTATATGATCTGCTAAAAGGGACTTTTATAAACTACATAAAATAAAAAAGTAAAATATAGGTAGAAAGTTTAACATCATGCTAATGTCAGACCATTTCTCTGTGAAATAGTGACTCTAATGTGCTGGATATTTTTAGCCGTATGGAGTATTACTTTGACGATTTGCAAGTCATGCCATTTTATCATATGCAGGACCACATGATGACCAGAAAGAGTTTGATCACTTACCCCTCTGGACGCTAGGAAAGTCATACCATGTGCGATCTGTTTAGCAAACAGCACCATGTCATATGTTGTCAAGTGGTCGACAATTCCGACTCCATGATGATATTGGTCGAAAACCCCCCTGGATTTTCTGAGATAACCCAGCAAGTCACCTCGCCACAGGTACTCCATGATAAGTATTGGCTGAGCTAAAAGGGAAAAACAAGAAAATTATTTACGGCAAGCAGTGCAGAAGTTCCAAAACGTGTTTGAATTGTACATGCTTTATCTAGTCATACCTCAAGTTATATCTGTAATGAATCAAAGTAGAGACAGGGAGGGAAAGTGAAAGAAGAAAACACACAGATAGAAAATAGACGGACAAATACTGCCGATATAAATCTACAGACAGACAGACAGAAAAAACAGAGATGGCAGATAAATAGACAAAGACTTGCCATCATAAGTTGAAGTTTTTATCACAATTAGCATGTAGATTTTAGAGCTAACATCTTCCAAGTAAAATGCCCCTCATACAATGCGAAGTAAATTCATTTAAAACAGTCAAAAAATTGAAAACAACCATTGCATTGGTACACCATCTTAGCAAGGACTAAGAATACTGATAGAAGTAATTGTACCAGTGGTTGAACTCAGAGATGTCTCAATCGTTGCTGTGAATTAGCTGATTATAATCATAACAATAGCTGATTACCTCCAACTGTGACACAACCAATGAACTTAACAACATTTTCATGGCCCTCCCTTCCAAAGAGTTTTAATAACTCGATCTCTCTCAGCAGGGCCTTCCTTCCTTTCTCTCCGGAGATTGCTAGGAAACCACACAAAAATTAGATAAACAAACAAACTTTGCATGTCAAGAGAGACACAATTAATTATGTGGTAAACATCCACATCTGGAATTGTTGTATGCTTGGTGTTATCTTACCAGCGCAAATTATAAGGCATTTGGTCCACATAAAAAAAAGTTAGCTTACTAAACTCCATATAATCCATACTTGCCACAAAAATGTCAGTTAGCCGTATTGTTCAATTTATTGAACATGAAATTTCCAAAGTAGATTCATCCTCTTTGAAAAAAATATTTGCTAAGAAAACGCTGCGCATCTCGAGCATTGTTGTTAACTAGGCAAGCCCATTGAACCGTGCAATTGTTTACAGATAACTTACAAAAGTAGGGACGCAATTAAGCCTAGAAATTCCATCTGTTATAATACCTAATAGTCGGTCGAGTATATATTTGAGACAGTTTTTTTAAAATACATGCTCTGTTTGCGCCTTCTTGTTTCCTACAGGTCATAAATTAGATAATCCTTGCTTTTATCTTACTAAAAGCTACAATAATTCGTAAGCATTCCCAGAGTTATTATAAATTCATTTGACTCTCTAAGTTTGTTACAGTCGAACCTGTATTTAGATCACGCGCGGGGATGGTTGACCGTTTAATATAGGTTCTACGGAATAGGGCTACTATTGATAAAAGTTTAAAAAATGCCACTCCATGCCATCACGGACCACTTAACATACACAACCTCGCTAAAAAATATTCCTAACATTGATTTCGGGAGATAAACATGGATTAAATTTTACTTGAAAGATTATTCTTAATTTTATTTGATTACTTCCGCTTTAGTGACCGTTCGATAAAGGTAGGGAACATTACAAATAGGCTGTTGGGACTTAGTAAAAGGTGACCACAAACGCTTGATATAAAAAGTACTATAAGTAAAGGAGGAAAGTTTCGGGACTTTCAAAACTGACCGCTTATTACGAGGTGACCGCTTCATACAGGTTCTACTGCATTGGGATTTTCAGCTTGTCCAGCGCAAGAAGATCATACTACCACCACTAGACTGGCAAATGGCTCCGAGTTTTTTCCGCTAGACTCACCCTCTCAAGGTTTCTTTGAGGTCTCATGACATTATTTCCCACTAAAAGTTTCTGAGCGGGCAACTTTGCAAAATATACGACAGAGTGACATTTTTAGTATTGTAGTATTTTCCGCTTTTATACACTTGAATGCAATTTAATCGATAAATTTTCATTTTTCTCCACAGCTTCTTATACTCCAAATGATATTCGTGTTCTGTTCTATTTTAGTAGCGTTGTATGACAAAAGATTTAACAACTGGTCCCCCCGGGAACCATCCGCTAACAATTAATTTGACATGCCAGCTGATAAATCATTTGAACAGCTCATAGTTTGTAAGCCATACATGTTATGTATTAGGTAGGTTAATAAAGCATGTTCTAAGAGAAATGCTCTTTATTGAGATAAATTACTCAAAAAATTAATAAAGGATAGTTCAATCAAGCTTTGTATGAAAGAAAGACCTGAAAAAGTACTTACGTAGGTAGCATTTCGCAGCAACTGTGCGATTTCCAGGTCTGCCACGGGAACGACCCAGTAGCGCTCGCCACACTGAACCGAATGCCCCTTTGCCAATATGCTCGCGAAGGATCAGGCGGTCAACTGCAATCTCCCATCCGTCTGTGTTTGCGTTCAGCTGATCCATCTCAACTTCATCTTCCCCTTCACTGAATAATTGCAGATGAAAACAAGACTTTAACTATCTGTGTTACCTATCTATCTTTTCCTTCTTTGAATCTGGTTTAACATAACGTCGTAAAGATATCCTCTATATCTTCAATTTAAATTTTTTCTTTTCATTTCATTTCCGGGTGCTTCAGAAAATTATCACTTGCCAATGAAAAATTATTGAAATAGGTGAAGTTTGGATGCTAATTTACTGAACCCGTTTTTTCGACGCATCGACCCAGGGAGGAGATTTTATTGGAAAAAAAAAGAAAAAGATTGAATAAACCTCGCTTGAAGATAATCTAGCGCCGACTGTGTTTTTCGGCATTTTACGTCATATAAATATCGTGCCTCCTACGCGAGAAATGAAATACTAACCAAAACCATCCGAAGTATTGTCTACAATCGATATATCGAGTGGTATTTTAAATCGGTCTACAAGACTCCGAGTGTGTTTCAACTGTAGTTTCTGTAACAAACAGTGACGAAGGGTCAAGCTTCTCTTCTTCTTTACAAGTATGCCACCCACAACCCAGCATACTGGTAACAAAAAAAAACACTAAACAAGGTGTCAAAACAAGTGAAGGACGGAGGAATTCAAAACAGAAAGAACGTCGGGAAATAGTTGACTGCCATTTGATAAGAACTGCTTCGAAATCTGCTGCTGCTTCGAAAGGAAAATCTTTTATTTTGGCCCATGTACTCTTGATTGTGAATATAATCGGTCCAAACTGAAAAAGAGACTTATTTTCTCAACAGTGGCGCTTATCGCTACTCACCTGAGACTTATTCAAGAGTTAGAAACTTCGAATACAACTACACGTTCAAACAATGAGCATTAAAAAAAGAGAATTTACTTACTTCAGCCTAGGTGGCACCTCAGGTGGGGCTATCATCAAAAGATATGTGGAAAGAGATAAAAGAAATCGTTTAGTTGTGAGTAAGAATGACATCATTAACTAAGTTGAAGCTTGCGACTCAGAAACCACGTGTGACTTATATTTGACTCTGTAGTCAAACAACGAGAGAAGGAATTAGGTGGGTTATCATGGTAATTAGTTTCATATAATTTGCAACATTTTTGTAATTTGGTTAGTAATGGGCTTTGCCGGGACTGTAGAGGGACCTTCAAAATCAGTGCTGGAAATGCAGAATATGACCTTCTTAAAATAGCTCCTTCGTGCTCCAAGACACTGACGTATTAAAAGCGACAATCTGCCATATGAAGACATTTTATTTTCTTATGGTAACATTTTACCTGTAGCACGGCGTTTTTTAATGTATGAAATGAACGCCAGTAGAAAAACGACAGCAGCCAAAGGTCCCGCAATGTAGTACCACTCCAGTGAGCTTCTGGAGGAAGATAAGCTGCTGGAAGGAGCTTCTGAATTTCCTGAAACACAGTAATAGAAGAAGCTTAATAGGAAAGTAATTTGCTGGTCGGCAAAAAATTGATATCACCAACTATCCAGATAGAGAGCTAACTTTTTTTTGTTCCAACAATTTACGTTGTTCATTACTTGCGTTGGGTGACGGGGAATAACTCATGGAAAAACAGACGCAGATGTGTTAAGTCACAAAAAACAGGCAGATAGACAGAGAAAGATTGGTGAAAGAATTATAGAATATGTATAACATGCTGCTACTGTTTGAAACTCGTTTTGAAACAGTTTTTTAAATTTCTTTCAAATTTAATTCATTTGAAATTTCTAGTTCCCAGAAGACCAAAAAACTACTGGAAAAGCTTGTGAGGAACATAAGAGGTGGACGTGTATTTTATAATAATGACCTTACATAGTTGATTACTGAAGTTGTATGTGGTTCCTTAAACAGCTTACCTTTGACATTTACTGTCACAACAGAGCGAGCCACAGTTTTTAGCTTGTTACGTGCTTCACAAGAATATTCACCACTGTCCTCTTCCACAACCTCAGTAATATCAATTTTACTATTTTCCTCATCTAATCGTATCTCTATAACTGCTTTTTCTGTTATTAGGTCTCCATCTTTTTTCCACATAATGCTGATTGTTTCTTCGTTGACTATGCAGATCAATTTGAGGGTATCTCCTTTTGTGAGTGTTATGTATTTCTCTGGAAAAACTTGAGCAGAGGCTTTTCCTGCGTTGAAAAAGGGGCAATTCATTAGTATGCTGGTTTCTCATTAAAACTACAACTGCATTATAAACACACCAAAAAACAAACACAAACACAAACATTGAAACGAAACGAATCAAATGTGACCTTCTGCATAATGCTTCGAATATGTTGCTTTAGATGAAAAAAAAAAAAAAAAGAAAAGTATTTCCTTGTGAGTTTCGTCAGGTTTTCGTAAGATTTTCAGAACAAGCTTGAAACCTTTATGTTTTAAATTTCCTGATTACTGTTTCAACCGCCCCAGATCCTCCGCTGAACTTCTAAATTAAGGTCTCGGTAATGTTCCATCTTCTCTTGTTCTTTCTTCTATACCCTTGTGTCAAATGGACACAACAAGTGAGTCATGCAACACGAAGTTTTTTCTTTTCCAGCACTGCGGTAGCGGGTCTGATTTCAAGTAGATGATCGTCCGTTTAAATTCTAAAGTACTACAACAACTTCATTAGGTGGTTTTCTATCACTTCCTGAGGAGAGAGGACTTAATACATTTTCTCGAGTGGACTTAAAACATTTTTTGAAGCTGACACTGTTAAATTTCCATTGAAAAATTGTGGATATCATAGACGGAACTAGAACCAAGAGCTGTTATGACAATTCAATCGACAGAGAATACTTCATGGAAAGTCTGTCCGTATGGTATTTTACGCGCGAGTTGGTAGTATCGGAAATCGAACAGGTGTGCGCAGCGAACCAATGAGATTTCTTGTACAAACCGACTCGCTGTTATCTCTTTTGTGTTTTTGCTCTGTATGCTTTCTATTCCGCATAATTCTCCACAGAGGTTCCTCAGTCATCTTTTGTAAGTAATTTGATTTAATAAACAGTCCTGAAAGCCGATTTTTATAATGTTACGAACGGAAACTATGCCGGTGAAGGATTAATAGAGAATAATACATAGGCGCGCGTAGATATGGAATTTCTCTTAGAGTGTTTAACTCGATAGCTAACGAGTGAGCGCAGCGAATGAGTGAGATGTCGAGCTGAACACGGGAAGAGAAATTCCACATCTATAAGCACCCATGTATTATTTTTTTTTTATCATATAAACACAATAGCCCTTTACTGAGAAGAAAAGCCGGCTTCATTTATAAATGAATATAAATTAATCGACAATCCCCGAATAACAATCGTAGAGTGCGTTGGCGCTAATTCCCAAGATGGAAAAATGCGTTGAATCACGATTACAAAAACAACAATGCTCGTAATTTTCAATTAACAAAATTCTCATTTATTGACTTTGTCCTTACCGACAGAAGAAGTCTTTCAGGTAAACGGCCAAAATCGACTAGTAGAAAATCTTCCAGTTGTCGATTTTCATTCTCAGCCGAGAGAAATGCTAACACTAAAGCCACTGAATAGGAAACTTTCGGTTTTTCTTTTAGTATATTGGTTTTCTTTGCCTTTTAGGAAAGTTTGAACTTCACTGTCTGTTAGCGATACGGATTTTTTAGTGTTTTAGCTGCCGTAATTCGAGAAAGCTCCGACAAACAAGTTGTATCGAGAATCGTGAACGCTTTGCCATTCATTCATCAACCTGACCGAGTGGCGCCAAAGGCAAGTGACGTATCAGCAGCCGATTGGCTATATCAACACACGTGAAAAAATACGATATTTTATCACGTGTGTTGTTTCGGTTTTTCTCTGAGCCGGAAATCCCAATCTAACACCGCAGTTTATGTGATAAATAAGAATAACATACGCTTCACGGGTGAAAAAGCACGATACGCAGTTCCTCCCGCGTAAAAAAAGCGATATGCGCCATTTGATTGACTCTCGGCTTCTCGGACCAGCTTGAGAAAAAATTTTATTTCATGCGTTTTCAGCTTGTAAATCCCTAAATCTTAACTCTGTAATATCTTCCATCCTCATTGGCTGAGCCACATTACGAGTTACAAAGCCATAAATCAACTTTTTGGAGAGATCTAATAGAATTGAGGGTGCGAGGGAATTCTTTCGAATGCTTAATCGCTATTCGACCTCCGATTTCGGTCACGGATACAAGCGTTTTCGCTTTAAGTAGTTTCCTCTATTTTAGTCTTGTTGTTCAATGTAGAGATTACAATTGTGTGTCGTGTGTAACTTTGACTTTTGCGTCTCGCTTCCTTTTTGCTTTCTTCCGAGATTCTGGATCTCTCCGTCTCGGAATTCTCTTCTTCAGATTTTTCTAGCTTGAAAGTACATTGCACATCGTCAAGTATTTCGAATCAATCAACTCTCTATAGCGTCATCACCTGTCCTTTTTCCTTGGCGTTTCTTTCCTACTCAGATCTACGCAGTTCTTTGCGTTTGGAATCATAAAGATCCAAGGACATTAGTATTAAGCATTGGTATCCCCCGTTTTTTTTTAAGGTCAGGCCCCAGTCGATCGAAGGGTAGATAACACTATCCACAAGATAAAACTCTATCTGGTGGATAACGCTTTATGTTTTACTCTCACTCATTCACCGAATAAATATTTAACCGTTAGTTAGCGTTATCTGCCCGTTATACAACTGGGCCGTCAGTGAATAGTGAATCCGTCACTATTGCCCATGGATTTACTAGTTCATTTTTCTGTCTTAATTTCTTCTCTCCCTATTTCTCTTCTTCATCTTCAACATCATCACCGTCATTATCAACGTCATCATTGTCGTCGTCGTCGTCGTCATCATCATCATAATCATCATCATCATCATCATCATCGTCATCAATATCATTATAACTGAACTTACCATAAACACGCAGAGTTGCTGAGGAACTGGTTTTGTTTGCTATGTTCTTTGCTGTACACCTGTAAGTCCCACTCATCCCTTTCGTAACACTTGGCGAAACTAGGAATGATTCTTCTTCGTGATCGGTTTGATTGATACCAGATGGCAGGTCACCATTATTAAAAGTCCAGACGAAGGTTGGTGTTGGAATACCCGAGGCTACGCAATTAAGGTTTACAGGGTATCCTTCGGCAAGAAATTGGCTTTTCGGAGGCTCAATGATCTGGGGAGAGACTTGAAGTAAAAAGATCACCAAGCTAAACAAAGGGTCGCATTTTCCATTTTAAGCCCCTCTCCCCCTTCCCTTATCCAGCCCTAAATTAACTAGTTTCAAAATAAAAGAAGTCAAGTCATGCCAAGTCTATTTTTAATCCAAGGTTATTTTGAAATTAGTTTTCTTCACTTTTGATATAGGAAGGTATAAGTCAGCCCAATGTGACATCAAAACATTTTTTAATTTCCTTAAAAGATTTCCTATCTTAGCAACAACCCAGGAGGTAACAATTTAGTTACCTATTTATTAATTTCTTCGTCATTTTCTTACTGGTTGTTAGGTGTAATATCAACACCCCGTGCTACCATGTTCAAGAGTACCAGTTTCTCTAAGTTCAAACTACACATTTCCTTTGAAGAATAGCCAAATAGTAATGGTGAAAAGGTTTGCATTCCATGAAAAGATTACGTTAAGATTACGTTAAGATTACGCTCAGATCGTCCATTGTAGCAGGAGTACAAGTTCATAACGACGTAACAGCGGGATTATTTTCATGTATTTCTTTGCAGTTTTGGTCGCCGAATTTTCAAATTTTAACTCAATGAAAAGTTTACATGGATGTTTCGCTTTCCAACTTCAGTAATAAATACTCAAATAATAATGCACTGATAGCCACTTTGACATTTTTGCACTTCTAAAATGGTATATGAATCGTGACTTGTCAGTCATTGGTATTTAAGAAGCAGAAAAAAAGGTAATTAAAAAATTTAAACGGACTTTTATAATAAATGCCGTGACAAAATATGGTGATATCTATAAAGTCAAAATTGCTCGACGTTCCAAAAGGCAATCAGTTTAAACTGCCCAAAAATTAATAACATGTGTCTGATCACGAAATTCATTTACATTTGGTGTGTAAGTTGGCATGTTCTCGCCCTTTAAATGTTATCATCAATTGAGTACTTTTTAATTATTTTTAGTCAATTTTGAAATTTTTGTGGTTTCAAGTCCTAAAATTTGATTTGGTATCATGGAAACGATTTTATCCTCATCCAACCGAAGATCTAAATTGATTATCGACTCCAGTTCTTTCTAAGTGTAAATAAGAACCGTACCTCCCGCCACTTGGATCCAGAAAGTGGAGTTTTTGCTTCCTTCGCTGTTATTGGCGCTGCAGGTGTATGAACCAGAGTCTTTCAATCTCGCCTGGCGAATCGTGAGAGTGTTGTTGTTACCGCGATTAACCCCATCCTTAGTCCACAGTATCTCAGGTGTAGGGAAACCGCTCAGAGAGCAAATGAACTTAAGAGACGAGTTATAGGCAACCAACTGATTCTTGAGCTCAGCATTAATTTCAGGAGGACCTGGACATAGAATTCAAAAGTACAATTCAAAAAAGGTGAAAGGAGAACCTTTTTAATTTTGAAAAGGAAGATAATGATTTATATAAAACTTGATCCCCATCCCCTCCCCCTCTACTTCTTTTTAACCGTCGTTCACAATCTTAGTGCAACTGTCCTTCTCTCCTCAGCTCTCCCCTGCCGTAAAAATCAAAGCTTGCAAACATGATTTTGTTACCGAGATTCACCCCATCCTTAGTCCAGAGTATCTCAGGTGTAGGGAAACCGCTCAGACAACAAATGAACTGAAGTGACGAGTTATATATTACCGACTGATTCTTGAGCTCAGTATTAATTTCAGGAGGACCTGGGCATAGAATTCATAAGTACAATTCAAAAAAGGTGAAAGTACAAAAAAAAAAAGAAAAAAAAACGTCAGAAAATAAGAAGAGCAACTGAAGGAAACAAAATTAAGTCAACGTTTACCTGTGACTGTAATATGAAAAGCTGTTTCACTTTTCCCTTCACTGTTTTCAGCGCTGCATTTATATTGACCAGCATCTTCATAACTCACTCGATTAATTGTGAGAGTGTTGTTGTTACCGCGATTAACCCCATCCTTAGTCCATAGTATCTCAGGTGTAGGGAAACCGCTCAGAGAGCAAATGAACTTAAGAGACGAGTTATAGGCAACTGACTGATTCTTGAGCTCAGTATTAATTTCAGGAGGACCTGGACATAGAATTCAAAAGTACAATTCAAAAAAGGTGAAAGTATAAAAAAAAAATTAGAAAATGAGAATAGAAACTGAAATAAAAAAAGTAAGTCAACATTTACCCGTGACTGTAATATGAAAATCTGCTTCATTATTATTTCAGGAGAACCTTTTTAATTTTGAAAAGGAAGATAATGATTTATATAAAACTTGATCCCCATCCCCTTCCCCTCTACTTCTTTTTAACCGTCGTTCACAATCTTAGTGCAACTGTCCTTCTCTCCTCAGCTCTCCCCTGCCGTAAAAATCAAAGCTTGCAAACATGATTTTGTTACCGAGATTCACCCCATCCTTAGTCCAGAGTATCTCAGGTGTAGGGAAACCGCTTAGACAACAAATGAACTGAAGCGACGAGTTATATATTACCGACTGGTTCTTGAGCTCAGTATTATATTCAGGAGGACCTGGGCATAGAATTCATAAGTGCAATTCAAAAAAGGTGAAAGTAAAAAAAAAAAAAAGAAAAAAACGTCAGAAAATAAGAAGAGCAACTGAAGGAAACAAAATTAAGTCAACGTTTACCTGTGACTGTAATATGAAAAGCTGATTCACTTTTCCCTTCACTGTTTTCAGCGCTGCATTTATATTGACCAGCATCTTCATAACTCACTCGATTAATTGTGAGAGTGTTGTTGTTACCGCGATTAACCCCATCCTTAGTCCACAGTATCTCAGGTGTAGGGAAACCGCTCAGAGAGCAAATGAACTTAAGAGACGAGTTATAGGCAACTGACTGATTCTTGAGCTCAGTATTAATTTCAGGAGGACCTGGACATAGAATTCAAAAGTACAATTCAAAAAAGGTGAAAGTATAAAAAAAAAATTAGAAAATGAGAATAGAAACTGAAATAAAAAAAAGTAAGTCAACATTTACCTGTGACTGTAATATGAAAAGCTGCTTCATTTTTCCCTTCACTGTTTTTAGCACTGCATTTGTATTGACCAGCATCGCGATAAGTCACCTGATTAGTCGTGAGCATGTTCCTGGTATCAAGTAACTTTCCATCTTTTGTCCAGTTCACCTCTGGTTTAGGAAAACCCTTCACGAAGCACTGAATTTGAAGTGTTGAATGTAATTTGACAGACTTCTCTCGCTGAGAATTTATTTCAGGAGGACCTTTTTAATTTTGAAAAGGAAAATAATGATTTATATAAAACTTGATCCCCATCCCCTCCCCCTCTACTTCTTTTTAACCGTCGTTCACAATCTTAGTGCAACTTTCTTTCTCTCCCCAGCTCTCCCCTGCCGTAAAAATCAAAGTTTGCAACCATGATTTTCACCAAGGAAAAATACTCAGCTCCTGCTCGCGAAAATCACGCCTGTTCTATATGAAACTGTAATGATCTTTCCTTTTCTACTAAAGAAAAATTGCCTTTTTTTTTGTGACAAAATGTAAATCTAGCGTCTAATCGGTAGTAATAAAACTCCTGCAGAAAAAATAAAATGTTTTTAATTCAACGCGAGCCATTTTTTTTCTTTTTACAAAGAAAAAGGGGTAAGTTTCCAAAATATCTCGGGTCTTATCAACTAAATTGAAAATGTAAAATGGCCACCGTAAAGATTTTCTAAGATAACGTTTTGACCGTTAGCGCTTCGTCAGAGCTAAACCTCGAAACGTCAGCTTTGATAATTTTTACGGTGGCCAATCTAAATTACCAACTCTGTTGATAAAACCAAAGTATATTAAACAAAGAGTTTAACATTTAATAAAAGGACAGTTGAAGGATATCTGTGCAGCATTTTCTACCAACAAATGAATATTTTACTTTCTCCTCATATATAAAACCACTTACATTTACAAGGCCGTGATTCCCGAGTTCTTGAGCAGTTAAATTCTGGAAGTAAGGATATCAAGATAATCTTTTAAAAGTAATAAACGGTTGGAGATTAAGTCATCTTATTTCTGTTAAAGAAAACATCGCTTGAAAATAGCTGCTGAAGGTTCCTGCCTAGTTATCATTACAATCTAGACATAATAGTTTATCCATTTGAATAAAAGTTTATAAATGCTGTATAGTTTTTTTAAGTTGTAAAACAATGGCGAAAACCCGCCATTGCACTTGTGAGTCACAAATTCACCAAAACTCCCTCTTGTCACTTGCCGACTCTTTCCCGGTACTCGTTGCATTCTTCGCAGACGCCACTCCAAGATGACCACGCCATACAACCTTTGAAAACAATAAGTTGTGCGCACAGGGTCATATGTCATAATATCACTCTACCTATGCTCTTTACTTCCTTTGCTGCATTAATCTGCTGCTTGTCAAAGGATACCAAAATATGTAATTGTTAGTGTCGATATCCCCAGTTTCTAATTTCCATGGAGACTTCGAACTAACATCTCCAGGTTAAAAAGGATTGATGGCTTGAAGCTTATAAATCACCCAACCTACAGCTCCCTATTTATAAGCCTCATTCGTGTTCTCTCAACATCACTCACGGATTTATTATGTTATAAAGCCAGGTAAAATGGCACTGTTTTGGGTTGCTCAATTGGATAACTGTGCAAAAATGTTAAAAGAAACAAACTAGGATTTTAACGTTTTCAATTTTCGATTTTCAACTTTATTGTAAAAGTTTTACCAGTTGATGGCCGAAGCCTGAAACGTTGAAATTCACTTTTTATAACAATTAAAAGTTTTATTTCTATGCAACATCCTTGTTCATAAATCTAATGATACTCAGAGAAGAGTATCCTGTCTGAATTCCCCTATTAAGATCCATTCGTTTGTTCAACCATCGACCCTTTATCCTGCGTACTGATAAATGATAGTTTAAGCACAGTTACTCACAATCTGTTATATCAGTTCGGATGAGGATGTTAGGTGAACATGAAAAGAAAGATTCACATTCGGTGAGTAAATAAGTGGCTTAATATAGCCTTGGAATACTTGACTACACACATTATTAGCTTAACAAACAAACTGAACTCGTCGCACTCACCCGCTTATGAATCCGGAAAGAACGTCGTGAAAGAGGAAAACAATTTTGAAAAGATGTTAATCATTAACTATTCATGTGTATATTTGAACCAACCAGTTTGTTTAATTTGATACGGCTATTATTTTTCATTGAAATCGATAATTATATAAAAGAATTTGTTAAATCAAACAAAAAATCAGCCAAGTATGACTGATATCTGATGATAATTATACAAATATCGTTTAATTCAGAACTTAGGTATTGATTTTATACTAATACTTTCCACATCAGTAAAATCGTTTGGATAATAACATTATAACATTAACAGCTATCACTAACTGTCACTGAAACACACGCAGATATTTCTTTGCTATTTACGATTGCAATTTGCTGATCAGTAATCAGCCGGTGCAGAGAGTCAATAGTGTATATTAAGCCATAGAAGAGTTCTTTATTTATAAGAACGGATGATATTGATAATTACCTTCCAATTTGGCTAGACAGAAAAGATGAGATAAGAAAGGAGGAGCAGTTAATGATCTAATAACATAGCTTAAGTTATGAAATAACAATTCATCGTAAAAATCTTACCCCCCCCCTTTTTTTTTTTTTCAGGAAAGGAATTAGGTTCCAGTACTTTCTCAACACAGGGAAAGCGAGCATTAGCGCCTAAATTTACATTTCCCAGAGAAGGATGTGATGTTGGAAAAAGATTATCCAGAACTTAAGAGAAAATTATCAAGGATGGGTTGCATTTCTAAATTTCTGCTTAACCTCGTTCACGCCTATTTTATGCGTAGTGTGACCAGCTCTTGAATTACTTATATTAAACTTTGTTTTAATTCTGTTCTGCTTTTGTCAGACCTTATAATGACCCTAAGGTAGACACCGCGAACTTTTTTGTTTGCAGTCTTGGATTAGATTCAGTCGCTATCAGGAAGTAGAGAAAGTTAGAATCAGGAAGTAGAGAAAGTTAGAATTGCTGAATCGAATGTTCCTCATCAGTTGTCACCAGCCGATAGAAGGATGAGGGGCCAGTTACGCATGGAAGTTTTTACCAATAAAAATATACCGTAAGCAAGAGTTGAGCTCAAAATTCAAACTAAAGCATAAAAGTAAATTTAAAACACATTGATGGACGTCAGCATAAATTTCATTTGTTAAAACTGTATTATTGTAAGCGAAAGCGATTTCCTTGGGAGTTTCAGAAGTAATCCTTGGTAACATCGGAGTTTGCTACGCCTCGTCCTGCACTACAGCTTCTCAGCAAATGTGATTTTACATGATTAAGTGCGTTTTCCAGTCCTGGATGCCAAATGTTTGCTTTGAATATGAGATTCTTGAGGCTCCAGTGACTTTTCGTTGTTCTGATTCGCTGTGATAATAACCAGGCTTTGTTTTTACAACACTTAATCGACATGCACTCCGAAAAGAGTAAACAATTCATACGTGGTCCGGTTGTAAGTATGATCTTAAGTACTAAATGAAAATTAAATTGTCTTGAGCATGATTATCAATAATAAGAGTTGCGCAAGATAAACTAAACTCAACTTACCAGCTAAGGGATTGCAGAAGTGGCATGTAAATAAAAGTTATTAATAAAAATATAATTAAAACGTGCATCTGTAGCTCAAAACATTCAATTGTTTGTAATGGTAATTGAACTGAGTAGAGTGCAATTTGGGTTGAAATTGTATGCGTGATTTCAAAATCGAACGAGCGCGCAGCGCAAGTTCGATTTGTAATCACAAGTATGATTTCAGACCAAAATTGCACGACACGAGGTTCAATTACCACTTTATAGCATCCATCTTGAAATCGCCTGAATACAAGACTTGGTCAGTTTAGATATTTTATTGATGCAGTACAGAGCCAGTTTGAACTTAAATTCATCCATTTTTTGGGGGGAAAAAAATAAGAGTTTTGGAAACAAAAGTTGCAAATTCGCCACATGATACTCTTTGTCTTTCATTTTCCTTCTATTTGATCGGCTACTTTAAACACGCCTTGAAATCTGATTGGTTGTTTTGTTTTTAATGTAGCCTCCTCATTGGCTGGGAAAAAGATGCGATTTGATTGGTGCGATTCGTGAATAAATCGCACCAATTAGAGCCAATCAGATAACAGGAATCACCAGTGATTTCAAAATGGGTGTAATAAATTGAGAAATGCTATGCACATTTTCTTTTGTTTATCACCTGTACTTTAGTTAAATATGTTAACGCAAACATACTGTAAAGTTGCCATGCAAATAGATATGCTTTAAATGACAACGAAACATGTACTTACGTTCTAATCGTTTTTCACAGTTGCCAAGGCCAAGGAATAATAAAAAAAAATACATCGAGAACAGAAAAATAAATAAAATGAAATTATTTAACTACCAAGAGCGTTGATATTCGTTAATCAGTCGTCGAAGACCTCTGCTCAACAAATAGTTCTGATATGAAACCATTTTCATGATTATGACTTTAATTCTCATAACTAGTTTTAAGTAACTAACACCTCAATTTCACAGTCTACCACAGACGACATTAAATCTTTTCGTAAACTGAGCCACTGAATCAAAGTCTGATCCTTACCTAGTTATGGTTCACACTGAATAAATATTTCCACAAGAGCCTAATTCAAAACGACTTCAACAAGTTTCCATCCATAAGTTAGGAAGCAAGGCGAATATCAGAATGCCATGTTTATTGATGATCATAATTTCTCATCCATAATAATTTTAATAGAACGAAAATTGTAGCTTTCATTATTACAAAAGTAAGAGACAGTGACACAAATATGTTACATGACTGTTACTGCAGTAGTGAAAAGACATGTGAAATCCGCCAAATAACTATAAAAAGAAAATATACTTACGATCTGTTTGCCCGTTAAGGTAGGAAATAGGAGAAAGAGATATGTTAGTTAGTGATATACATTTGTTATTGCCCACATTGTTCTTAAGTTTGGTATCGTTAAGTAAAAGTGTCTTGTTAATGGAACAGCCAGTAGTATGACTACGCATCATATTACACTTGCCATAACTGTTGGGTATTTCAAATGGTTGCCATGTTGGCAGTCAATGGGGAAGTCTGACCAGATAAGAGTCTTTAACATGCTGTCAGCCACCAATAGTAAAAAGGACATTTTGCCAAAGTATAACTCTTGGCCGCAATCAGAAATATTGATTGGGGCTAAAACTTTACC